GAAAGAAGATATGTTCTACCTCTTTCTGTCCAATCAATCCAAAGAACTCCTTGGCCACAATAGCCTTGTCACTGAACAATAATTCTGTAGAAATATATTCCATAGAAAGTGATTCAAGTACACAGACACTGGCTATTGAGCTCCAAGGTCATCGTTCTGATGTTAGAAGTCTTAGTCTCAGCCCGGATAACTCTCTTTTACTGTCAACAAGTCACAATGCAGTGAAGATTTGGAATCCAAGTACCTGTAACTGTCTTCGAACTATTGATTCTGGCTATGGACTGTGCAGCATGTTTGTTTCTGGTGACCAGAACAAGTATGCACTTGTTGGGACTAAAGGTGGAAAGATTGAAATCATAGATGTTCCCAGTGCTACATGTGTGGAGGTAGTGGAGGCTCATGGAGGCTCTATTCATTCAATTGCTAGCATGCCCGACAAAACTGGTTTTGTTACTGGTAGTGCAGACCACGAGGTTAAGTTCTGGGAGTATCGCCGATTGAAGAAGTCTAGTCACGTGAGTCCTCTTTGCTCTTCATCTTTTCCATTCTTACCTTAAAATTTCATCTTGCCCATCATGATTTGTCAGTTGTTATCTTGATAAGGACTTTAGGTGTAATAGCACTTTTGGATAAATATTCTGTATGTTTTACCTTAGTGCTCTTTGTTTTTGCTGTTCTTGCGTATAATTTTATTTGTTATCACAAACATGTGTCTGCGACTGAATAAGTTACCCTGTAGTGTATATATTTGTGCAAACCTAGCTGCCTCTTTTCTTGTTTGAATATAGAAGTTGCTATTCTTACTCACAGGACTTGGAGCGCTTAACAGTGTCTAATGTGAGGACAATGAAAATGAACGATGATGTTTTGAAGATTGCACTGAGCCCAGATGCAAAGTATATTGCTGTTGCGTTGTTAGATTGCACAGTAAAGGTCAGTTTGCCCTGATTCTTTCATCTGCTTGCATTTCTAAGTGCAAGCGTACATAATTATTTTTACATTGCTTATCGGATAGGGTATAGGATGCAATTACATCGTTACCTCTTCTATGCTTTCACGTTATCTATTGACTTCTCATTTGATATTATCACCCTTTTATTTTTATGAGGCCTTCCCTGCCTTATTTAATCATTTGTTATTTTTTCTGATGTGTGTGAAATTTTTTAGGTCTTCTTTGTGGATACACTGAAATTCTTCCTTACACTATATGGTCACAAATTGCCTGTATTATGTATGGATATATCATCTGATGGGGATCTGATAGTTACGGGGTCTGCAGACAAAAATTTGAAGATTTGGGGTTTGGACTTTGGTGACTGCCACAAATCGATCTTTGCTCATGCTGATAGGTACTTATCTTAGCCTTTTTTTTTTTTTTTTTTTTTTTTTGAAGTAACTTATCTTAGCCTATTTTGACAAAACACACAAGGCATTTTATAATTCCCTGGTGGTTTACTTGACTAATAGTCCTCTTTTTCCTGTGGCAGTGTCATGGATGTGAAGTTTGTTCCTAATACTCACTATGTATTTAGTGTTGGGAAGGACCGGCTTTTGAAGTACTGGGATGCTGATAAGTTTGAATTGCTTTTAACTGTTGAAGGACATCATGCAGAGATATGGTGTCTTGCACTCAGCAGTCGTGGTGATTTTATTGTCACGGGATCTCATGATAGGTCCATAAGGCGTTGGGATCGCACTGATGAACCATTTTTCATTGAGGTACTCCTCCATATTGGCCACTTTGTCTGATGACGAGCCTTCTGGAAAGCTTTTAGTTTCTTTTTATTAATTTACTGTCATCAACATCTTTTGCAGGAAGAGAAAGAAATAAGGTTGGAGGAGATGTTTAAGGCTGATCTTGACGGTGCATTTGAAAATAGACATGCCCCGAAGGACGAGCTTCCTGAGGAGGGTGCTGTGGCATCAGCAGGAAAGAAAACTCAGGAAACCTTAACTGCAACTGACTTGATTATTGAAGCACTGGATTTGGCAGAAGCTGAAACGAAGCGTATTGCTGAATATGAGGTAATTGTACTGTCAATGATGTGTTGATTAATTTGCATAGTGATCATTCAAAGTACATAAAATCTTGCGTAGCAAAACATTTGCATGGTTGGTTCACTGGCTATGCCCGTGCTAAAAGGGGATCCACCAGCCATAAGATGAGCTGTATGCCAAAAGTTACAATGTCAAATGGCTTTTTTTTCCTTAGTGAATAGCTTTCTTTGTATTTTCCCTTTCCTATGCGTATCAGTGAGTGATTTTATACAGAATTTCAGGGGAAAAAAAAATTAATAAATTAAGTCATTTGATTTATTAAATTGTGATGTACAGGAGGAGAAAACAAGGGGGGCAATGGCCAAGTTTCAGCCGAACATACTTATGCTTGGACTTTCACCCTCTGATTATGTTCTTCGCTCAATTTCAAATGTCCGACCCAATGATCTGGAGCAGACTTTACTTGTACGAACACATCTGATTAACTTTCAGATCTGCAGTTTATATTCTAATATTCTGATGTTGAATATTTTCACCTTCACCAAAGTTTGCGGTTGTTGGATTCTGCCACTGGGTATATGGCTTTCTTAACCTTCTTTTTGAATTGATTGCAGGCAGTACCATTTTCTGATGCTCTAAAACTTCTTTCATATCTGAAAAATTGGACCTCAAATTCTGAAAAGGTCAGATCTCATTCATACTGATATATTCCTATTAGATTGTTTATATCTCATGTTATTGAATGTTTTTTGTTTCTTGGGTCATTTTTGCCCATTTTGTTTATTTATTTTTGTTGTTTTATTTCAATTTTCCCTGAAATTCCATTAATATTTTAGACTTAAAACAGCAGAACAACTTAAAGAACATTTTTTTGCTAATATTAAAATGTTTATCTGTGGGTTGCCCATTGTTTTTTTGCTAATGTGTATTTTACTGCCTAGTTATATTTTTGTTTTTGCAGTTGTACATGTATATGTCAAACAAGGTTATTGACAATATTTTCTGTTTCTAAGTTTATAAAAATTTTGTACAGATTTTCTTAATTTTTTTTTTCTAGATATGGAGCAACTGATACTATTTCCTTAAATGTTCATTGATTGATTAACCCCATCAAATTCATCATTGTGAAGAAAAGAGGACACCAAAGGTATAAAAGAAGATATTAAGTCTTGTGATCATGTTAAGTGCCCAATAAACAAATATCTATTCTTTTCCTCTTCATACACACACACACACACACACACACACACAAGTACATGCTGAACGTACTTGATGGTACTTGGAATGTAATCATGCATCTTGGAACTTTGGAAGTATTTTTCTCTGTTTGTTAACCTCTTTCTGTGAGGTGGTTCACATTGGAAGTAGTGAGGATCAAGCATTGACGCCACACATTGCAAATGCAGGTTGAGCTCATATGCAGGGTTGCAGTTGTATTGCTGCAGACACATTATCATCAGTTAATTAGCACACCTTCAGCAAGACCAGTCTTGACGGTTCTTAAAGATGTCCTGCATTCAAGAGTGAAGGTATCCTATGATCTAATGCTGTTGATTCCTGCAAGATTTTTTGAATGCGTTATTTTAGTGGGCTCTTAGCTTGCAATTCTTATTTTCATTCTGTTCACATTTTTGTACTCAAGTATGGACACAATATAGTTTAACTACTGATTGGTGATGAATAAACTCAGTCCTGGTTTTATCAATAATTAGGTATCTGATTTGTGGCCACCTAACTTGGGTGGTAAAGGTAATAAAAATTTGCATAGCCGTTGAGTTCCAACCTTCTCGTATATGTGCTGCTTGTAGCCAAGATGAGCAGTATAGTGACTTTTGAGTGTTTTGGGAACTTTTATGATGCCTTTTTCAGGAGGTGAGGCTTCCCCCTTTCCCTCAGGCTTGCATACCACCATCGTTTCCTATGCATCACTGACATAGCAAACCGACCTGACCCCGACCTGAACTTGACCTGAAATCGACCAACTTGACCCGAAAAAAAAGGGATTAAGATTGGTTACTTTTTATGATTTGACTAATTTACTATAGACCTGAATATGACCCAACCCAACGTAACCTGTCTCAGCCCGAACTGAAAGACTCATCACCCAAATAACCCATTTGGCACCTTTGTATATGCAGAGCTATCATCTTTCCATTTCTATGGTATTTGGACATTGAGAGTTTGAGATAATCTGCTTTATCCTCTGGTTATTTGTTTCTTCCAAGTAAATGATGCTGATCAATATTTAATTTATGTATCAGGATTGCAAAGATACTCTTGGCTTTAACCTTGCTGCAATGGACCATCTCAAGGTATGTATACACGCAATCTTATCTGTTGAGGTCATCATTATACAGACAGTTGTGCAACAAGCATGTCAAGCAAGGAAACTAATTCTTTCATGTGCTATTTCAGCAACTAATGGCTATGAAGTCTGATGCACCTTTCCGAGACGCTAAATCAAAGTTGCTGGAAATCCGTTCACGACTTGCAAAACGAAATGCTGGAAAAACAGACACGAGAGAGGAACGGAAGAGAAAAAAGAAGCAGAAACAGGGAAGTGATGGGCATGCTTGGACTGTTGTGCGATAAGAGCAGGGTTAAGTCCGGTAGGAAAGTGGCGAATGCATTTGTGCAAGGTTAATTAACCGTATGCCCCTCTGAACACTCAAGAATTCTTTGGGCTATCCTATGCTGTATGGGGAATGTTATGAACTGAAGACATCTCTTTGCATGATTTTCTGATGTGATGTTAAGGAAGACGGAAAATTGAACTTGGCACTGATGATTTGGTGGGTTTTTGGTCAACATTGAGTTTGATACCATACATATTGTACTGGGAGCTTTAAGCCTTGCATGACAATCGGACTTGTGGGGTTTGTGCTTATAATACACAAATCTATTCACCTGCATTTGTGTTTTAGAGGAAATCACCCTCAAAATGGAGTAATGCGAGTGACACAGAATTGAAGTACTGCATAAGTATATGCACACGCGTATTCTTCTTCAAGCCTGAGTTTTATTTATATTCAGTTTTTGCTTTCTCACTACATGAATTCATGTCATCGTGTATATATTGAGATATTGAAGAGTTTTGGTGCTAAATAGAGCATATATTTTTTTCCCCTTTCCCCTTTTCTTTATTTATTTAAATTTTGCATGCAAAGTTACAGCTTTAGAGCAGATAAACTAGTGATTATATATCAGCATCAAACTTCAGAAGGAATTTGGTGTTAGCTGGTGAAGAGCGTAAGCTTCGAGCAAAATTTATCTGAAGTTCTTGCCTTCGTATGTCTGACCAAACTGCCAAGTGTTTGGGACAACATGCCATGAAGTAGACTTCTTGCCATCGCTGGTTCTGACTCTGAAGGTAATGGACTGCCCTACGTAATTGTCATCGCTCTCCCAGTTTTGGCCCCAGTTGCGCTTCATTGGTTTAAATGGCTTACCCTTATCTCCCTTTATCATTACGCTTTCTACATCCCCTGCACCTGCGACATTCCATATCAACACCAGCAGGTAGTACGGGTTCGAATGCGGAGATATGCTGAAACGGATTCCTCCTGTTCTTATGCATGGAACCCTGCATGTCATGCATAAAACATTCGATTCAGTTACTCTGATTCTCTGATCTGTTAGTTTTGCGATATGGAAGGGGGGGAAAAAAAAAAAAAAAAAAGAAAAAAAAAAAAATTGTGGCAAGTCATGTATCAACTTTTCAGCTTTACTAACTAAATACAGTATATATATATATTTTTGGGGGGCGAAATAAATCCATGTTTGAAAGTTCTCAAGCAGATTGATTTCTCTGAAGTTCTGTAAATCATTTCCTAGCTCATTGCTTCATGACTAGCTGACTTAGAGAAAATGCAGCATTATGAGGAGTTAGGATAGTGTGACATATAGTTCCGAACAAATGGAGTGCTTCATGATTTACATACCTGCGGTATTTAATTGGTACAACGCCAGCCTTGTACTCGGCAATTTGAAGAAAGGCTGGTTGAGTGAGATCAAAATGCTCCTGCGGAGGGCTGCACCACCCTCCGTCAGGGCACCAGTTGTTGCCGGTAATGGTGATGGTAGATGCACCAGCTTTGCAGCCCTTTGCAGGCTCTTCACAACTGAGCTCATAGCAAGAGCCACAAGCTGCTCCATTGTTGAACAATGCTGTGCTTATAGCTGCAGTTTGCACCCCAAACCCCCCTTTGCCTTCTTTGGTTGTTATATCTCCATATCCACATGCTCCTTCTGTTTACATTCAAATCCAACTTTATTCAACTTTGTGCACTTTCATATACTCTATGCAGATGCATTCACCCCTAGAATTGAACTTTTAAATAAGACTAATAGATCTTGTTGGGCCGTATATAAATTATAAACTTGTATTGGAGGAGAGTTTGACCACATACAAGTCCAATATGATTGTTCCAAAAACCAATTTATAATGGGAGTGGTAGCGTGATAATAAATTTTTTCTCTATTTATTTAATGTGAGACAAATAACGTCAACTCATACGTGAGTTATGTTCCTTTTAAAAAAAAAATTACTTGCATTATTAAGAATCGTAGCCTTAATATACAGAGTATATAAGGCACTATAATCTTTTATTTTGAAATATTAAAAATAATTTTATATTGAATTGGTGCTAACTTTCATTTTCCATTTCAAAGAGAGAGACAGAGTCACGCCACACATATATTTTCTTAGGAAAAGGTTGATCATTCTCATATTGCTATTTAAATTCACCATGCATGCGTAATCTATGAACATACATGCATATGTACTCAATGGAATCTAGCTATGTAATTTATTAACAATAACAATAATGGTGACATGACTAAAATAATGCTCCCATCTCTATAAGTTCTTTATGCTTTGTTTTTTTAATACAATTATTGCTCAAATAGGAAACTTTTAGAGATGGATAGAGTAATAATATGGAGAAGTAATTACCAAAAGTTCCCGAGCCATCTGAGCCACCGTAAAAGGTAGCCCTACCGATTCTCCACGGACCAGGCCGGAAGTTTGGCCTCTTGGCATGAACATTAGAGACAAATACCACAAGAAATAACACCGCCAAAATGATGCCAAGAAGAGACGACTTCATGGTTGATGGCATAGGATTTTTTTACCCGTAAATGAGGCAAGGATGGTTGAAATAGCTTCATTTGCTATTTATTTTTCTTGTATTATGGTTTCTTTATATAAACGACACTTAAATTTTGCTATATTAAGCTATATTTAGTTAAAACAACACATTATTGGTAAGGATGTTTTAGATCAGCCTTTGTTTGACCATTATTATTGCTGTCTATCTAAATTTAAGCGTTTTCATGCATTACCGAAGTTTGAATGTAGAAATTGACAATTTATAAAATTCAAAATAGTTTTGAGCAATGCTTGGATGAATTGTAATTATAAATAAGCAAAACTCTAGAAATGAACTGGTTATATAATGATAATATTTTTTTTTTGTTTTGTTTTTTTTTTTTTTTTTTTTTTGGACATAATATAATGATAATAGTTACAACACTGCTTAGATGGCACTTAGACTACCATACAAGTAATGTGCAATAGGTGTTCTACGCAACTACCAAAGATGTACAACAATTGTTCCATACTATTAAATTCTGTAATTTTCGAAAGAAAAAAAATGTGTTAGGTGCAAAGAGATGGAAAAGGAAGGAGCATAATAAAGAAAAAAGGAAGAGAAAAAAAAAGAAGAGAGAGGAACCGCAAAAGAGAGAGAAAAAGACAGTCGAGAATATGTATAACTTGTTGGTAAAAACTACAGTGTAGAAATTTAAAAACAGAAACGAGAAGAGTAAAATATATGTTCCATTAAATTTTTTTATTTGCAAGACTAGAAGATTTAAATAGATCTAATAAATGACAATGTAACATAAGATATTTTGAAAAATTTGTCAGAAAAGACCTTTTGAAGTGGTCATTTTTGCGACGAAGGACCTTTCTATATATGAAAAAAGTGGCTAAGTAGAACCTAAAAAGAATTATTATTATTATTATTATTATTATTATTATTATTATTATTAACAAAAACCTACAAAGTCAAACAATTGTTATTATTATTATTTATTTATGAGGAGGGACATTTTTCTCGGATTCCGACCTTTGACTATTATTTTCCGATGTTGACGTGCCAAGCTTGTGACATAATTTTTTCCTCGGTTTTTGTCCCTTCTCCTCCCTAACCACCATATTGACCAACCCACCATCATTTCACCGCCATTCCACCACCATCCCACTTTTTAGTGAGTGGTTCTTGGTTGCGGGAGGCATGCATCGGTGATTTGTATTAAATAGGAAAAGGTGAGAAAGAGCTGGGGTCAGGGAGGAAGAAGAGGCATGGGTTATGGTCCTCTAGGGTTTTGGTGTGGTGGTGGTGGGTGGTGTAGGAATGATTGTGGGCACGGTGGTTGGAGAGGCAAATGGGCGGAAAATAAAGTGAAAATCAAGTCACGTGCTATACACGTGAGGGTCAACTCCGGGAAAAAAGTAATCAAAGGTCTAGATCCAGGACAAGCTCCCTCACAAAAAAAAAATCTTCATTTAAGGTTCTACTTCCACTTCTTTTATAAAATTTGCAGTCACAAAAAACTACTTTAAACGAATAAAAGGTCATTTATTTCTGACAAATTCTCCCAAAAATTTATTCATAAAAGATTGATTCGTTTAATTTTTGCATTATGTTAAACATTTATATAAAAACTTAGGGCAACGCTTGAAGGAATTACTAGTTTAGAACATGTTTTGATGGATATATCCCATTTCGACCTCACATAAATTAAATGAATTAGAACTTGGCTGAAATAAACTTTCTTATCAAAATATATATAGCTTTATTACGCCATTAAGAATTAAACTCAAATATTGTAGTGACTGAGGTGCATAATTTATTTCGATGAGCGTGCATATTAACTAAATGCATGTATGTGCAACTTGTTATGACTCAAATATGATGTGCATAACTTTTGAACAATTTTGATTTCCCAAAGTAAAAGAAATCATCTAAAAAAAAAAGCACGTTCATTACAGTTTAAAAATACTTCCAAGTTCTATTAAAATAATTTGTATGCGATACTTTCATCCTTCATTCATTTAATACGCTCCTTGTTTTGTAATAATCGCAATAATAGGATATGCACAAAGTTTTAGAGAAGTTATAGGGTGAACACCAAAAGAGAATTTTTTATAATATAAAGTATACGAGTTGTTAGTAGGAGAGAGAGAAATAGTAAAAAAGTAATGTAACTGGTCAGTATTGGTAGGAGAGAGAAATAAAAAAATAATGGGAAATTATCTTGTTTGGTTGATTAAACTATTTTTTAATAATAAAATAATTATTTTTTTTTAAAAAAAAAACCCCTCCCCCACCCCACCTAGTCACCAGTAGCCTCTCCTCCTGCCGGCGGCCAGGCGCCCCACCGCCGACCGCACTAACCACCACGAAAACCGGCCCCCTTACCCGACTAGTAACATCAGAGAAATCAACAAGAGTAACAGTATGATCAGAACTCAACAAATCCTTGCTAGTAGCATTTACGGTTTGATCATCAATACACTTAGCATGAAGATGAAACTCCACCGAGCAATACTCGCACTGGCCGTCATCATCGCAGGTGTCGTAGTCGCTGGAGAAGCGCATTGCCATCGCACGCTCGCTGACGAGAGGGATGAGGCCGAGACAGTGAGCGATGAGCTCGTCGTTGAGAATGGAGGAATTGACTTCGATTTCGACGAGATCGACGGCGACGGTTAGCGACGCTTGAATCGGTTTTTGTGAGCTTGAATTTCGTGAAATCGTCTAGCATTTCTCGGATTTTGATTTGGGGAAGCGCTGGTAGAGATTCCCTCCATGGTTAGGATTTTGGAGGTTTTTGATTGCAGGGGTTTTGTGAGGGAGAGAGAAAGAGAAAGCGGAGCTAAAACCCTTTGTCTCAGCGTTCGGGGTTTGCCAGTGTGAGGGGGGTCGTCGGGGAAGGGGGTCGATTTTCGAGGTGTTAGTGCGGTCGGCGATGGGGCGTTGGGTGGGGGAAATGGGAGGGGTCGGGATTGGGGAAAAAGAGGAGGTGGGGCGGGGGAGGCTGGGTGTCGCTGGCCGGGGGTGGGGGAGGTTGGGCGTCGCCGGCCGAGGGTGGGCCGTCTGGCCGCCGGCAGGGGGAGGAGCTACTGGTGGCTAGTGGGGTGGGGGAGGGGTTGGTTTTTTTTTAAAAAAAAAAAAAATTATAATAATTTAATTATTAAAAAAATAAGAAAAAAACAAGCTATAGTTAAGGATTTTTATTAAAATAACACTTATCATTGGTAATCAATAACATAAGATTACCAAAGAGAATTGAAATTTTTGCAATTTACCAAAGAGAAAATGAAAAAAACTTGAGTGTTGTCAAAGGGAATTTGCCAAAAATAATTGTGAAAGTGGAGTTCTCACCAAATAAGAAAGTGTTACAATTATTATAAAACATACGTAAAAGGAAAGTGTTATGATCATAACAAAGGGGAGAGAGTAATTTCCTTAACATTTACTATTTATCCAAAAAATTAAAACAAATGCATGTGAAAGAGCTTAAAAAAGTGAGTGGAAGTAAAAAAAAAAAAAATGGTGGATAACGTAGGGTAAAATGAGTGAGAATGTGTAAATATTATGAGATATTGAAATAAGAATAGTAGTGTTTGATAAGAAAAATAAGGTTTTTTTTTTTTTTTTTTTTTTTTTTTTTTTTTTTTTTTATCAAAAAAGAAAAATAGGGCAATTAAAGAGGCGTGCTACAAATAAAATGAAATAGGTATGTTAATATTACTTTGAAGTTGACAAAAACTAGAGCGTATTTGTGCTAAAGCACGGTATATATTAATGTTTTTTTTTTAATTACTTCATTTAGTTGAGGATTGAGTCCTTTCCCTAAATATTGTTGGGAAAACACGCAGTTTCCAAAATATAGTCAATCTTTGTTTTATTTCCAAATTACCGTCCACATCAGCTAAGGGAAAAAACCAGCTTTTTTTTTTATCGGTCTAGCAACCAACCGCTACTTAAAGTAGCGGTGTTATGGGAATAAACGCTACTTCAAGTAGCGGTTTCAATTTCATACACCGTTACTTGAAGTAGCGATTTGTCTCATCATTCATCAGTCTCCCCATTTTCATCTTTTTCCCTCTCCTCCAAACCTTCCTGCTTCCTTCAATGGCGTCTCTTGCCATCTCCTTTTCATCTTCCCTCTCCTCCACCACACCCACCTCACCACCAACCATACCAAACCATTGAACCCATCAAAGCAGCCCCAGCCACCAGCAGCGAAAACAACAGCCTAATCCCCGAAAACAACCACAGCTCCCACCAGGCCACCTCAATTGAGCCACCACCATCAAACCACCACCGCGACCCAACCCACGACCATCAGCGTTCGCAAAATCGCACCACCTCCAGGCGTCGGTGGCCGGCGGCGATGACCGTCTGTCAAAGCCGACCTTCAATTGAGATGTTGAGGAAATCAATCGTTTCCTCAAAAAACGCCGACCTTCGATTGAATTTTTTTTATTTACATAAAATGGAAAATCGCTACTTCACGGTGTTTCGAGACAAACCGCTACTTGAAGTAGCGGTGTATGAAATTGAAACCGCTACTTGAAGTAGCGGTTTATTTCTAGAACACCGCTACTTTAAGTAGCGGTTTGTTGCTGGACCGATAAAAAAAAAAAACTGGTTTTTTCCCTTAGCTGACGTGGACGGTAATTAGGGAATTAAAAAAAAGATGGCTGTATTTTTAGAATTAGATAATTTCCCAACATTATTTAGGGTAAGTACTCTTGAGGATTTGGGTTTGGAATGTTGAGGATAAAAGTTGGAAAAGAGATTCTTAATAAATGAGTTTATATGGCAATTATTACATAATGCCCTTTCCACAGGGGCTAATCTTGCTCACCATCATTTTAATGTTTTAATTTTATGTCTTTTTGTCAGCTTTGTACTAAGACTCTAGATCACCTTTTCCATTTCTGAGATGTTTAAACATTCTGGAAACATGAAACTACTATCAACTAGTTGGGGATTTTCCCCTTGATATTGGTTTTTTTTTTTTTTTTTTTTGTTATTTATTTATTTATTTATTTATTTATTTTAAGATATGTATGTTTCTTCCTTGTATACTCTATCCCGAGCTCAGGAAATTTGTTTTGAATGGACAATTAGGACTCGTTTAGACTCTCTTGAAACTACTCCTATCTTTGTCAATCCTTCGATTAATGTCATTC